CCTGCCTTGCTGTGGGTAAGTGAACAGCACCTCTCAATCCCATCATTTCTCCAAAATCCTCCTCCTTTTGCTTGCTATCCAAGATACTGTTCATCGATTGGGTTTATCTCAGCTTAAAAAGAGAAATTGGCAATTGCAGGGATTTTTGCAGTCTGTGGCGTTACGTCTGCCTGCTTTTGCTTTAGAAATAGCAGGCCAGGAGTCTGATTTTAGTGGGTTTGCCGCTTAGCTGTAGAGAAGAAACTTCTGTGGGCTAATATTGATCTAGTTGGGAGCTTGCAAGGCACGGGCCATTAGGCAGCGTTTGCAAGGAGGGACCCTGCTCCGAGCTCCCCTGTTGTCCAGGCAATTTTGGATCAGGCAGCTGGGTTTCTGCACTGACCTTTAAAATTGCACTTTTATTAAATATCCACCTGGGTCCTGGTAGCCCGATAAGTCTGGAGGGTGCTTTTAAAACGGATGTGATACACAACAAAGCGTTGTCTTCCCTCCCGGTTATTTGCCAGATCTTTGCATGCTTCAGAAATGTACCCTGAGGAGGAGATTAACCGAAGGGCGCATTTTTCCCGTGGGAGTTTGTGAGGGAATTAAATGGGAGCATTAGTCTGCATTGCAAAAAATAACCAGTTGATCAAAAATGACCGTACTTAATCCTGGCTGATTCACGGCTCCTGGAGCGAGCGCTCGCTATGCTAGGTGGAGCTAGCAGGACGTTTTTAAAGCAGCGAGAGAGAAACCCGGTCTCTGTGTAAGAGACCGAGGCGGGTGTGCGTCTTAGATCACTCCCTCTTAAAATTAATGACTGGTTTCACCCAACCTCCCAAAGCTCCTTAGTCATTTCCCCCCTGCTCCGTGTTCGGATAAGGCTTTTTTGGACCTTCTGGATTAGCAGATTCAGGTTGAAGATCTGCTGCAGCATCCTTGTGGCCTCGGACAAGGTGCCCAGTGGGGTGAACAGCAGCAAGGGCAACACAAGGGGGCAAATAGATGTGCAAATGGGCAAATAAATGTCTACTTGTTGTTGCAAAGCTTCCCTCCTCCTGCTGTGTGCCTATTTCTCCCTCTGTTTTTGGCTGTTGGAAGGATGGAGTGGCTGGGAGAGGCAGGATGCAGCGCAGGGATGCAGTGGGAAGGCAGGGGGAATGGGAGAGGAGCTGGGGAGGCAGCAGGTGCTTGGTGTGGCCTTGGCAGGGCTCATCAGGGAGCCTCCGAGGGAAAACAGGCTCATTTAATGGCACTTTTGCACTGGAATTCCTCCAGATTTGCTTCTAACACTGTAGATGCGTAAACGCTGTGTAAATAAAAAATGAGGCTTGGATATAAAGTTTTCTGAGGTTTTTGGTCAAAGGACAAATTTTGGTAGAAAAACGTCGTCCCGGAGGTTCGTAAGTGCTTGGGGTCTCCCATTAGGGGCCTGGGCCCCTCTGTCCCCTATGCCTGCCCCATCACCAGGATCCCCATTTGGGGACCGTGCCCCTTGCAAGGTTTTCCACGTGGAGCAATTCGAGGTGCTGGAGCTGGAGGTTTTCCATGTGCTTCCCAACTTCCCGCAGGAGACGCTTCCCTGCTCACACAGTGGGAGAGACGCGGGCTCCGGAGCAGCAAAGCCAGGGGATCTATAAGCAGCGTGTTCTTCCCACTGCTTATCAGCCATTCACAGCACATATGGCCAGAGAGGAAGTTTAGATAATTTAGTCTCACTCCTTTATACCGCAGCTCAATTTAACCTAGTTCTCCTGGCAGCAAAGCTATGATCTGTGCTTAACTCGCCCAAAACTTCTGCTGGTGCTTGGCCTGCACCAAGAGATGGAAGCTCCAGGGCTTGTGGCTGGACTCTGTGCCAGGGCTCAGGCCTTCTTGCTGTGCCTCACTTCAACTGCAATTTGTCTTCCAGTTCTCAGCTCTTGATCCTCACCACACGTTATCACATTGCCCCATTTCCCATTTCTTTCTGTGTTTTTTATTAGCAGTTGTTTCGTTTGTCACCGAGCCATTATGAACTTCTCATCCTCTCCCGTGTCTTCTCTTGCTTGTGGGATGATGATTTTTCTCCTTTAAGAACTTAATATGAGGGTAAGTTAATTAGTACTCAAAGATACCATGTGTGGTACCCAGCCCTAAAGGCTGTGTCTGTACAGCAGGTTATTTTCCTTAGCGAGTGCGAAGGGAATGAAGGTTAAACCGGCGAGCTCGTTTAAAAACAACTGAGGGGAACTTCTAATCCCCAGGTTGTCCAAACATGCTCTTTTGACTCTGAGCCAGCATATTCATTGAATTCTGCAAAGCCTTCTCACAGTGCGGATACGTCCCTCTCTAAATCACAGGCACGGGGAGAGCTGCAAATTTCTAATTTCCAGGACTTGCTGGCTGGTCACTACAAGAAGAGGTGAGGAGTGATCTGGGCATGTGGGAACACCGCTCTGGAAGGCGGCCTGGACTGGAAGAAGTGGCTGAGGTCCCTGGAATGACATCCGAGGCTTTGAACATCCCACTCTCCTCCGTGCGTTCACAGCCGTGAGCTTTAGGGAGGGCGGATTTTGCCCTGGCTCAGTGCCATTTCTGGGCACATCTGTGATGTGGCTCTTTAGGAGAAGCTTGTCTGCCCTGAGCGGTCACATCGAGGCATGAAGCACAAGGACACAACCCCAGCACCTGCTGTCACCCACCCATAGCCTGAAACAACTGTCCTGATGCTGGTTTTCAACCTGGAAACCATTTCTTCCCCTCTCCCGGGATTTTGCTCTGCTTCCTCTGAAGGACGTGCTGACAATAGCTGCATGATTTGATTATTTGTAAGTGCAAACCTGTTACACAACCCTTATGGTCACACACAGCTTGGGAACAGCACGTTCCCTAAAAAATGGGCCAACTGCTTCTTAAAAGAAGGATCAACCTTCATACGTACCCTCCTACCGTGCCTAATTCACGTCTGCTAGCTACAAAAGCAGGCTAAATGTTGAATGCTGCGAATAGGAGAAGTTAAGCTTGGGCAATCTGTGACTTCAAGGAAATTCGAGCTCCCAGCCTTTCTGAGCAAAGGGGACCCATGTTTTTGTAGGTGCGCTGGTGATCACAGGGACACTTCACCCCTGAAGTGGGTTGAGCACCAAAAAGCTTCCTGGTCATTAGGACCATAAGGGATATCAGCTATGAATATAATGAATAATGAATTTCTAGAAGCTTTAAACACCATTGTTATGTTTTCTGATTTTTAAGGGTTATTTTTTAATATCACTGTAGTAATGATGGGACTTCTTTAGGCTTATATTTGTTTCTGTGTTTTTTAAAGCCTTTGAGAAGAGTTGTTGTGAACCTTTTTCTTTCTGTGAAGGGCTGTCTGCTCTAATTGGAATGTATCTTTGGGTGGAAAACAGGGTTTAGTACAATTATGGGAATTTCCACTCTCACATTTGTTGGTTAACATCTTTAATGATTCGCTTTTCTATAGTACGACACTTCATGGCATGATATCTCCCTTAGATAAAATAACTAAAAAGGAAGTTCTCGTTGCCCCGAACCATGATGGTGACGTGCTCTGTGCATCCCTGGTGTGGATGCGTAACTCAGACCAGCAGCCACCAGTGAGATGCGACCGTAGCAGCCCGGGTCTTTCCCACCAGATCTCTCCGTTGCATTTAATGGAATACCTCAGATCAGTGTCTGGTCTTGTGAAGTCTGAAGAAGAGAAGCCTGAAGCTGGGATCTGATTAATGTCTATAAATACCTCAAGAGAGGTAGCGAGGAGGATGGCAGTGGTGTCTTCAGTGGTCACTACCCATAGGACTAGAGGAAATGGCCACAAGCTGATGCACCAAAAGGTCCATAGGAACTTAAGGAAAACCTTCAGTGAGGGCAACAGCCCTGGAACAGGTTGGCAAGAGAGGCTGTGGAGTCTCCTTCTCTGGAGGTATTCCAAATCCTCTTGGACACAGCCCTGTGCCACGTGCTCTGGGTGACCCTGTGTGTGCAGGGGGGTTGGACTAGATGATCTCTAGAGGTCAGTTGGGCAGTGCTGGTGTCTCTGATGGGCCTAGGGGCTCAAAGGTGCCAATTGGACCCATATGACAAAAGCAGCTTGGTGAGGTCTGGGTTTTCAAAGACTTTGTCCTGCTCGGAAAAGCAGCTTGCACATGATGATGCAGCCACTGGGGAGAAAAGTGGGGAGTTTGAAGACCTCCAAGTTGCGTGAGGTGTTGGGGTGGGGACACCTATGGGGCAGGAGCAGCTGCTGTGCTCATTCAGCCTGAGCTGTCGCACAGTGCGGGCAAAACGGGATAAACTACGGGCTAAAATAAAACGGGATCAAATAGGGCATAAAGAGGGAGCGGGATGAGGAGGGAAGCGGCAGCTCGGGTTCCTCCGTGGGCTGGAGGCGGCCGCCTGAGCCCTGCCGGACTCCCCGCAGCAGCGGCCGGCGTTGGGCGCCCTGGGTGCGGGTCGAACGTGTTGTGAGGGGCTGCCCCATGCAGCATACAGCCCGGGGGCTGCGCGTGGGGGTCCGGCGGGGCCCCCAAAGCCTGGCGCGTGGGGCCCCGTGGCGGGCGGCTGCGTGGCACGCGCGCCGTGCGCCTTTAAGAGTGGCGGCGGTGGCGGCCGCCCTCGCGGTGCCCGCAGCTCCGCAGCCATGCTCCCCACTCGCATTCGCAGGCTGCGCGCGGCAGCGGCGCCCCAGCCCGCCCAGCGCCCGCGTGGATGCCGCCCGCGCGCCCGCCGTGACCACGCGCAGGGGATGCCCGTGGCCTCGCTGCCGCCCCAGTGCAGCCCTCGGGGGGCCGCCCGCTGCCCCCAGCCCCGCCGAGCCGCGGGCCTGCAGAGGGTTAAGAGTGGCTGCGTGCGCGCCGCGCGCTCCGGCGGGGACTAATCTGCAGAGCTACATGTGCAGCAACCCAAGTGCTGCGGCCGCCGCTGCTGCTCCCCGCGGGCGCCCGGTGCTGCGGGCGCCGCTCGCCCCGGATGCCACCCCGAGCGCCCCGCCGCTTGAGCGGGGCGAGCTCCGTTGCCCTGGTGGGATCGTGGTGACTGGCCAGCTCCGGGGGCTCGCAGAGGTAGGTGCTGCGTGTTGGGGAGACCGTCCTCCTCCCGGGCTGGGGGAGTAAAGGGTATTTAAAGGAATATTTTGGGGGGGACAGAGTTGAATCTGCAGCCTCACAGCAGGTGGAGAAGTGTCGGTGCATGGATGGGAGCAGGAAAAGGGTGTCCCAGCCAGACCTGGCTGTAAAGTTATTTATGTGTAAGGGGAGCAAAGTTGGTTTGGGCTCTGGGGAAGGCACCTCTGCCTCCTCCCCGAGCGGCCCTTTGCAGGGCTGTGGGTGCGAGGTGCCGGCCGAGGGGACCCCGCGTGTTCTACAGGTGCTCCTGCACCACAGGCAGGGATGTGGTGCTTCCCCGGGGGGCAAAATGGTCCTAAAATGAGGGAAAGGCACACTGCTTGCTGAGGAGGAGGGAACTGCGAGGTCCGAAGCGCTGATGCTTGGAAGCCGAGGCGGTGGTGGCAGCTCTCTGTGTAATGCTCTGCTCCGGGGCTTTGGCATTGCCAGCTCTGCTCAGGGGAGCTCTGCTTAGCTCTGCTCTCTGCTTTGCTGCCGGCTTTCTTTGCACTGATACCAGCAGAGAGATGCTGCCAGGTGCATCCCGGTCCCGCGGGCTTGCTCGGAAAGGTGCCTTTTGGGGAAGTCCCTGGCAAGATCCCTAGCGGCGGCGCTGCAGCTTCCCTTTACCAGCTGGGTGTGCGGTTGGGGCTGTCAGGAGACCTCGCTCCTGCTCGGAACATCATTCCGCAAAGGTTGAGCTGGAAGGGGAAGTCCTCAAGCAATCCAGCTTCCCAACACTCCAGTTTTCCACCCCGCCGAGCGTCGCTCCCTGCTTGCTGCCAGCTGCTCCGTTGCCTCCACGCACGTGATGGAGCCTGGCCGTGCCGGGGAGGTCAGCGCTGCCCCGTGACATCCAGAGGCCCTCGTGCCATCGTGGAGCTGGTGAGCAAAGCCCAGTAACAGCAGCAGCAGCAGCTTGGACCCCGTGGCCGTAAGGGAAGAGCGACCTGCTTGTGGAGACTCCCCTGGGAAGAGCGTGGCCGCTCCACGAGCTCCGGATCCCTTGGAAAGGTGCAAAGAGACCGTATGGATGCACCAAGGGGATTCGCCGGGGTGTACGTACTGGTGGACAGCGGGCTCGATGACTGAAGGATTGCTGGTGTAACACGGTGAGCAGGAGATAAGCAGCTTACCTGGGTGATGGGATGCAGGGAATGCCAGAATAATTATAGGGTAGTCATTCCATTTACTGCTAATTGCCGAGAGGCAGAGCGGTGATTAGAACTGGCTGAATTCAAGCACAATATTTCTCACAAAGTGGCTTTCCAAATTGGAAGTGGATTTGGTTCTGGTGTGCTGGCAGCTATTTTGGTTGTTTTTGTGACCCTCTTCCAGCAAGTGTGTTTTCCAAGAGGTCCTTGTGCTAAAGCAGCAAAATGTTGATGTGTATTTACCTGTAATGTGGTGTGAAGGGACAAGTGCTTTTTCAGGATGTAGAAACAGCCTCCACGAACTGTTCCTTATTGCTGAACAGCAGCTTTGGTCAGTAATACAGGCTTTTCTTAAGCTCGAGCTATGTGGAAGCTTGCTAAAATTAGTAGTAGTAATGTTAAAAATAACAAATGCCTGTGCTATCATGGCAACGATACCAATGTCTTCCTCAATGCAAGGGTCTCCAAAGTGTCAGAAAGGAAGGACTGGGTGTCCTTCAGCATGGCCAGGGCTGCTGCTGTCCCTCCAGAGACTTTGCTCCATTGCAGGATGGGGTTGAGCTTGATGTTGTCCTAGGTCCAGAGTGACCTGGCCATGGCAGGGCCTTTGTTGCTGTGGGCTTTGTCCCTTCTCTCCACATGGGACTGGTTTTATGCAGCAGTTCTCATGCACAGATCTGTGCAGTGTTGCCTCTGCGCACGAGTCACAAATTGTGCCTTGAGCCGACAAATGCGAAGGGAATAAACCGAATCTTCAGGAACCGTTTACTAGGGAATGATTTCCCTGGATTCTGAGGCAAAATAAATGAAAGGCAGTAATGAGGTGCCTGCAGTCTTTCAGTGACTGTGGAGTTTAATGCTTTAGATGCTGCTTGTAAAGCAGCTACAGGTAGTCAAAGCTCGTGCTCCAGAAAGTCTTGCGTCAGAGATGAAAATGAGCCTTTTTGGTAGTGACCGGAGGATCTTTAGGAGCTTCTGCTTCTGCAGTTGAAATCTGCCTGGCTTTGTACCATTTATAAAATGCACTCACGGTAGGTGGTAGCACCAGCCTCCTCATAGTGAATGCAGATATTTATATTACGCACAAGGTTTTCTCACCTTGCTGCATTCGGATGGTGTTTGGAGATACCGTTCCTGTTAGGTAGAAAATTGAGGCTGACTTTGGAGGTGAATTCAGCGAGCAGTTTCTATTTAATATATATAGCATCAAATAGGAACAAAGCTGCTAAAGATTACTTTAATGATGAATCATTATATGGCTCTCACTGTCTGGAAAGCAATAAAAGGCAAAATGGAGTGCCAGGATTTAATCGCTTAGAAAATGCATGGGAAGGGGCCTCTGCTGTAGAGAGGGCTTACACCACCACGGCCGAGTGAAAATATTTTTGAGGTACAAGAGAACTGAATTGTCTGCCCCCCAAAGATGTGAAGCAGCTGCCCTCTGGCCCTTGCTGTTGTGGAAGGTTGTTTGCTTTGCCTGTTAGTCATTCTTAGTGTTGGAAAAAAAGAAATTGTTAAATCCTGACCGATTTTCCCCTGTTTCGGTGCAGCTGCTGTCATATTACTTGTCTTTCGAACGCTATCGGTTTTATTACTAATCCTAATTAAATGCTGTAATTTTAGAAAATCAGATTAATTTGCCCCATCAGCCCTATGCAAATCCTGCAATAATTGGGGATCGTAAAGCGTTCAGGAGAGCGTAGCTTTACTCCTGAGGAGTAATGGCAGGTGTCCAAGTGTGTCACCACCCTTGCTCTGGTGACACGGAGCGCGTGGCGAGCACCTCGGCGTGCAACGTGAGCAGAAGCACTAAGCTCCTCTGCCGCCGACTCCTCCGTTGCATCCGTAAGTCAACGAGCCTTAGACCAGTGAATTCATCTCGCCCGTCACTGAAATACTTTCTCCTTGCTATAAATATTGCATGAATTCCTCAGTTCCTCTCAGTAGATAAATGAGCAGCTGGAGCTGGGAGTTGTTGCACGCGTAGGTTGTGGCTTGTTTGGGATCTGTGTAGTGCTGGACATGGTGCAGCTAGTCCTGGTGTCATCCCCGTGTTTGCACCTGAGGGCCGCAGTGTGGACCGAGGCTGCAGAGAAGCTCCTGCAGCGACTTGTTCATCTCAGGCTGGGAAGGAAACGTTTCTATCACTGCATCAGTCTCCTGGGGGGCAGGAGGTACTGTGAGACTGACTGCCATGCTCCTTGAAGTCCAATTTTTGGTCTTTTTAAGCACAGATGTTAGGTAGCTAATAATTAGTTTTGATTCCAGCTGAAGCAGTGGCCAAAGTGGTGTCCCACCACCTGCCCCAAACGCTGGTTTCCTCAGCAGTGACACTAGGGAGGACCTCCCTGGTCTTCCTGGTGCAGTTACCTGGCACTGAAAGGCAGGGATTAGACCAATGCTGCAAATATTTACACCTGAGCCAGTTGTTTAGATTTTTATTACAGCTGAGGGGGGGAGAAAAAGTCTGCAGTGAGATGAGATGAATCACAGCCTGGAAATGCCCGTGGATGGAGAGGGGCTCTGGTGGAGGTGGCTGCAGCGCCAGGTGACCTGGGTCCTACCATGCGAGTCCTCATCCATCAAATCACCGGCCCCGTCATATGGAGGGAGTTATTACTGTAGAGAGAAAACCTGTAGTGTGATGCTTGTCGCATATTACAGATTTGGGGGCTGCCCATCAGTCTTATTTCACCCAAAATGTAGAATTCAGGAGTGCTTTTGTCACACCGAGATTTGTAGTGCTTGACCACAGCTGCCAAACTGTTGTCTTCTGCAGGGCATTTAATGTGCAGGAAGCTTTAGGCAGAAATATATGACTTTTATAATAACTATTACTTGCAGAAAAGAAAAAAAATTCAAGATTTCAAGAGCATATTAATTAGCCACAGTTTAGTTATTAGTAGCTTGCAAACACTTATTGTGGACATTGTTATCTGAAGAACTCTAGTTTAATGACTCTAATGGGCGCTATTGTCGGTCTCCTGAAACACTGGAGCTCTACAGCCATGAACTGATTTTAATGTGGGTCCTATTTGCAAACATTTGTATTTTTAGATTTTGTGGCACCTGGTATTATGTGCTTGGCTTATGACAGTAAAATCACAGCTGAATGCTGGAGTGCATGCAAATACATCTGTATCAAAAGAGGTCCCTGCTTTATATAATTCACCCTTTTTAATTGTGTGTATTTTTTGAAGTTGCGTGCAAATATAAAAGGTAAGCACACAGGTCTGAATAGCGTGTCATGGATGTGCAAATACTGCCTGGTGTTTCCGTAAGGCCTAGCTGATTGTTTGGCCACCACGTAGCCCAGGGTGGCAAATTTCAGCCTGGAATTCCTGCCTACCTTCCAGAGCCAGCCTTGTGTCAAGCCTGCCTGTCAAGCCAAACCTGTCCTGAGAGCAGCTGGTTTTGGTGCTTAAATAAATGGGGAGGAGAGAAAGGACAAAAAAACAGCCTGAGTTTATTTCCTTGCTCTGTATGTTGAATGTTCTTGTGCTTTTGTCTACTGAATTAAGAAGCCTGCTGCTAATAGAAATCATTTCACAAGTGGTCAAGTCATTGTTCAGGTTTCTTGTTGCTAAAGCGATTACATCCCTTAAACCCTTGTCATAAAATCTATTTGCAGGCTGTTAAATCACTTGTGTTTCTCTGGTAATTTTTCAGTATCCTTTTGAGATGCAGCATCAGGGCTGGGCAGTGCAGAGCACAGCCTTGTGCTAATCTCACTAAAGAAACACCACCCTGCTCCTAACCTTGCTTGAAATCGCCCCTGTTCAAACAACCAGGAGTGTCATCAGC